GATAAGGAATTCACAACTAAAATAAAGGCCAATGAAACATTTAATTAATCTGTTCCCTTTATATTTTTTAGACATTCATTGGTATCCTTGATTAATCGATTATCCCTGGTATTATATAAATTGATTTTTGCTCAATACTTTTTCATGTTAAAACTTTTATGTGTTTAATATAACAGTGAAATGGAAATATCTATTGGAAGAAAAGGATTAGCAACAGAGCAAGATGGCAACAGCAAAGTCTATTTCAAGACCAAGTTGAATCAAGATGATCACTTAATAGACAAATGTATCTGTGTGCCTCACATGAAAGGCTTGAACAAATAAAACTACAGTCGAAGAAACGTAAGAGTAAAGGAAATGATTTATTAAATGGTTCATTTTGCTCAGGAAGTAATTTTGTCTAAATGCAGATAAATATTTCATTTGTATAGATTATTAAAATGACTAAGGTAAGTAATCATTTAGTTGATTTACCTCCCTTTCCATTACAGATTGGACATGAAATACAGAAATGCACATTGATAATTATTAAGTTAGATTGAAAAGATATTTCATGAACAAAAAAGAATAAAATTGAACCAACTTTCTCTTGAAGAGGGGGTGGCTCTACAGTAAGGAACTATTTAGCATCAACAAGCTTAGACTACCAAAATTTCTTGTCCATTCCCAAGTGAAAGTTCTATTTGATGCTCATAATATTCTTAGAACATGATATTGAGTCACCCCCCCGACGAGGGTGTCATTTGGCACAAGGCCTTTTTAACGTGGGCATTCCGAGCCCGTGGGCTCGGCCAAAAATATGCCCATTGAACCCGTATAAACGGGTTCAGCGCCGGTTTTACCTCCCCGAAGGAGGCTCTGCCCTTCGGTGTAGCCACCTTCGGGTTCCTCCCGTCCGTAGGAAGAGAGTTCAACCGAGGAGTCAGTTCAAAAGTGAACTACTGACTCACTCTATTCTTAGAACACTGACACACTTGTACAACAGACTGATATTGTGCCAATCAACTTAAGAATTTTTTATCTCAGATCAGGGTGCAGCTCGAAAAAGCAAACAGCAATTAAGAGGTGGTTCCATGCTCCTCAAAACCTCCCAATCAGAGACCAGATGTAGTTTATCATCATACCTAAGACGGAAGCTCCCTATGGTCAAATGGTTTAAGTAAACCAAATCAGATAGTGGCTTCTCTTGAAAAGTGGGATGCAGGTTCAAATCCTGATGGAGGGCACAGGCTAGTAGACAAAATAAGTACCTTTTAAAAAAATGAAGCATCTACTGAAATATATATATCCACTAATAGTAAAATTTGAAATAATAAAAATACTTCAGATTAAAAAATAAATGCATTAAGTCAAAATGGCTACAATTGAAAAAAAAAAAAAAAAAAAGATAAAAGAAAGAAAAGGTAAAAAAACAATAAAGAATGAGTGTAAGGTGAAAAAAAAGGTAAAACAATGAAAATAACAACCACATACTCATATATATGCAGACAAATGCAGATTATGAAAAAAAAAAAAAAATTGCACCAATGAATAGTGCATATAAAAATGAAAAATCAAAATGTATAAGCAGTCTATTGCTGATAATCCCTGATGAGTGGATGGAGTAATTTCTGGAGTATCTGTCTACAAAATTCTGAAGTTGCTGAAAGTAAGATCAATCAGCTAAGTGATGACAAACCTTTTACTTATATCAATTTTTTCATAATCTTTAAAGTCTCCAAGCAAGAAGTAAATGATTCAAGTTTTTATAAAATCTAAAATAATATTGAAACTTGTAAAGAAGACCAAATTTTTCCAAGTAAATTTATACTTATCATCAAACTGAAGTTGATTATAAAGGCAATAAAATTATCTTTTTTAAAATCTACACTGAATACTAAATGGAAACTTACCTGAGTCATGACGTACTTCCAATTAATAAGATCAAAATTAAGCATTTACCTGAAAGAGAAAACAAAAAGGAATTAAATAATCTGCCAGATTTTAAATATTCTTCATAGACTATGTGTGGGATTACCCCACTTGTCTGTTAAAGAACTCCTGCCATCAACCATAACAAGAGAAGTATATTGAAGAGGAGAGCAAAATTCTGATTTTTTCTTTTCCCAGAAAATGTGCTTTGTCCCCTTCTGAGGGATCTTTCAGTTCCGAGTGAAGCTGATGTCATATTAGAAATGACACAGAGCAATACACAGCATACAATGCCCAAATGACCCATGGGTATATTTAATAATTCTACCAAACAGACAAAAAAAACTCTTTTTAAATGTAAGTCTCTCACAATCTTTTATAGGAACTTCACATGCACACATGTACGAAATGTATCTCTACACATATCCTTTGCTTTGCGGCCATACCACATTGAAACACCAGTTTGATTTTTGAAATTAAGTAACATTGATCCTGGGAATATCAAGTGTTATAATCTTATATGCGTGGGTGGTGTAATGGATAATGGCTTGGAATTGGAAATCAGGGAACCAAGTTCAAATTCCAGTCACATTGGTTATATTCACTTACCTGCAAATACCCTTGGGAAAGTTATGAATGTATCTCCTCCCCCATTTATAGGTTAAATAGTAGAACTTGTATCATTATTATCTGAAAAAAATGCTTACAATCTAAAAATATGTTTTGGCTTTAAATAACATTAAAAAGGTTGATAAGCTGTAGAAAAAAAACTAATTTACTTCATTTACTTTTTGTATTCTTACCATTTAGTTACTCAGACAATAAAATATGTATATTTATAATTGAATGTATATTTATTTTTACTCGTTTGGAAACCCTAATGCTTCTACTTTCCTATCAACAAATAATCTTCAATTAATGCAATCTTTCAGTCCTCATTCCCTTTGTATTCCAATAGTAAGAAAGAAGTTCCATTTGGACAGTGCCTTCCCAAGAGCTATAGCTTTTGGGAACAGAATCCCAAGAGGATGCTTCCTTGACCACTACAGTTTTAACTTCTTCAAGTTTAGAGTCAAGTTATCTATCCTACAATTCCTCATAATATTCACTTCTTACTTCCTCTCTTTATGCCCTTATAGCAAAGCCTATTCAGTAGCCCTATACTTTGAGTGGCTTTTGGGTCTTGCCTTAGGCAAACAAAAGTGTAAAAAGTAAAATCAGAGAATCAATAAATCCCTAAAAATATAATCCTAAAATGTTCCTGGCATGTATTTTCTGAGACAAAATAATCAGACTATCAAGCACTGATTCTGATAAGTTTCTTTGTCTGTGTTGCATCACTAAATATATCCTAATAGATAAAAGCACTGGTAAACCTCATCTGGTTCCTTGAAAGACATGTGTTCAGTCTTTGAGAAAATAATGTTATGAAGCAAAGGACATTTTTTTTAAAATCATTTCACTCCAAAGCAAAGCAATAATGCCACAAAGATGCAAGAGCTTACTGGGGGTGAAAGAAAATGTGAAGACCAGTAGAAGGAACCAGAAAACCAATCCTAAACAGCAAAAAAGGGATAAACTTTTTCTTTTTTATGTTCAACATCCCCCTCAGAACCTAAGCAAATATAGTTTTCTACAATTTCCTGTGTTTTGTACCTCTAAATAAAATTTTGTCTTTCTTTTATTTCTTTTAAACCCTGTTCCACTATCCATTTACTCAAGCTCACTATGTCATGCATTGTTTTCCTGTCCCTCTTGTCTTAAATCTATCCTGTGAGTATCAAATTTTCCAAGCCCTCTTTCCCATTACGTTCCCTAGAAATTTCAACTATCTCTTACTAATGTTAAGTTTACTTTTTGTTTCCATATTCACTAAGACTTTGTTGTTGCTCACGTACTAGGTTCATGATATCCTTTGCATTGCTCTGTAGAACCACATTTCTGTTGTTTCAAGGCTTTTTTTCATCTTTGAGATTGTCCAGCATTCACTGTTATATAGTAGGACTGATATCAGTACTCTTCTCTTTGTTTCTAATGAACCTTTTTTTTCTGTTTCTTAATACTTAGCTTTTGGAAGGCATCTTTGGCTATCCCAATGCATATTTAGATTTCAATGTCGAATTTTGCATCCTCTGTTAAAACACTTCCCAGGCATTTAAATTGTTGTACTTGCTTGATTTTGGTATCTATGCTTTTGTATAGGTTAAATAAGTCTGGTGAGAAGACACATCCTTGTCTTACATCCTTTTCTATTTTTAGATATTTGCTGCTGCTACTCCGATTTAAAAGATGGGGAAAGGGTGCAAACTGAGCAATAAGTGAACTTACTAAAAAAAAAAAATAGTAAATACAATTTTGGTATATAGAAGGTGACATTAGAGGTATAGACTTAAACTCAGAGCATGTGCGATGCAAGTTAATTGTATTCAGGTAGGGAAAGTTAATTATGTAACTGCTGTTCCTTAATGAATTTTAATTAATTTATTTAGATTTCAACAGATTAATTTATAAAAATATGTGAACCAAATACAATGAAATATTTATTATTTACCATTTTATAAAGGAACAGATATTAAAAGAAATCTTTTTATTCAGAAATTTATAAGAATTTCTGCAAACTAGAAAATTTAAATAACCAAATAACGACAAAGAACTGTAATAAAAAAAATATTATGAAAAAAAAAAGCATTTTCTGGGCATTTCTTTCATTTGCTTTCATTAGATGAATTCACTAAAATCAGTTGAGAGCATTTCTTCCTCTTACATATTTTGATAATATTATATAAATTTTTGGACAAATTTTTCTTTTTTTTTGCTTCATTCATTTTCTACAGATTACCAAACTTTTGCAGGTTATTTAAAGCCAGAAAATATTTTCAGATTGTAAGAGTTTTTTTTTTTTTGAGGTAATAATGAATTAGTGATACAAGTCTTACTGATTAACCCATAGCTGGAAGGAGAAGAGGTGTATTCATACATTTCTCAAGGGTATTTGCGCTTAAGTGAATATAACGAACCCAACTGGAATTGGAACTTGGCTCTGTGATAACAATTCCTAACAATTATACACCACCCACATATCCAAGTTTTCAGCACCTAGTATTCCCAAGTGGTCACCCATCTAGGTACTGACTAGGTTCAATGTAGCTTAACTTCAGTGATCGTACAGAAACTGGTGTTTTGTGATGTGGTAGTAAGCCTAGAACAAAAAGCTTCCCCATCAAAGCTACTTCTTTATTGAATGGTAAGTAGTAACCGTTCCACCAATACACAGGCACGAAGATAAACATTGCCAAAGAATAGACAGATTAATTCTAAGGAGCCAAATATTTATCCTATATAAGTTAGTAGGTGATTCAATTTAGGTCTTTTTGAAGTGTAGTAATAACTGGATACATTAGATTGAGATAGGTGAATATAATTGACCCTATAAGACGCTTGCAATATGATTAGGTTTGCGACACCTGTAGCATATCAACTTGGCAATATCTTTGTTTACTGCTTGTGTTACACCTGCTAGTTTATATACTTCTCTAAGTTGGTTCAATGTGCTACACTAGACAATTCTTCTCACCTGAATCTATCTTGAATATTTTTTTTATCATTTCACCCCAAGCAAGGGGATAAAACCACTAAGACACAAGGGATTACTGTATGTGAGAAAATATGGGAAAAAAAAAACTTAAGAAAAGAGAACAATAAAAGATGAGGAATTATAAAGACAGGAGATAACAATTGCATTTAAATTTTTGAAGATCAAAATTAAATTGACTGGAAAGCAAGAAGCTGGAAGAGAGTTCCACAAGTGAGAAGTGTTATAGAAGAAATTGTTAGCATAGAACTTACGGTTACATCTAGCCATTTCAACTATGAAATGATGAGACGTTGCTAATCAATGCTTAATGCGCTTAAATTCATAAAGTCTAGGTACCATAGTGGAAAGTTCATCAGAACAATTACTATGAAAGTATTTATAGAAAAGGCACAGAGAATCTACATTACAGTAGTGGGAAAATGACTGAAACCGAGATGCCAGGTTAAGATTCATAACATTGATGATTCTTTTTTGTATTTTATCAAGAATCTTTAAATTTCTAGCAGGAACACCAGACCAGATATGGCAGCAATATTCAATGTGAGGAGGAAAGGTAGACTTATAAGTGTGTAAAATAGATTCAGGCAAGAAAATTTATCTAACATGACACAGTAAACAAACTGTCCTTGCAGTAGACCTAGCAATTGATTCAATACAATCTTTCCTGTTCACGTTAGTAGAAAACACTTTTAAGCCTACCATTCATCACTCACATAGAATATTTTTTCTGATATATCTTGAGATTCTTAACAAAATCCAAAGAAGAATCTATAATGTTATCAATCCTGACCTGGCATCACAGCTTTAATAACTTTCCCACCATCATAATTGTGTGTTTTCTACAAACATTTACATGGCAATTAATCTGATGAGCTTTCTTCTTTGACAAATTAATGAATTTAAAGTGTAGCACAAAATTAACAGTTCAGCCTAACTTCAACTGAGTTTCATTTCCTGCACTTCTTACCAATTGAACTTCAAGTATTTTGCTTTCCTGTCAACTACAATCAAACATTTAAATGCAATGTCAATTGTCATCTTTTATTTCTTTGCAGCTGTTCTTTTTATTATCCTTTCACTTCAGAAAAGTTTCCTCACTTTCCTTCACTCTCAGTAAACAGCCTTACATGTTAGCAGATGAAATGATTAAAAAAGCTGGATCACTTTCACAGTTGAAAGGACATTTACAATGACATTATTAAAGTGCTTTCAGTGTATCTTCCAATCTACAAATCTGGAAAATGGTTGACATGATACTATAATATTCAGAGCATTATTTTGGATTGAAGTGATGATCATCTCGAATGTTATGCTTTCATTGTATCTTGCAATGTCTGATCTCCAACATGGTTGAAATATAGAATGAATATATAGAATATCCATGTCCAAGAATTATAAATATCTTTGGCATTGTAATCTCACTTTTCTTTTGTGTATCTTATCATAGTAATAATGAAATATTAACAAGAAGCTGAAGGGTCAGCATCCCACGTGAAATGCCCCCAGAAAACATTTTCAATTTGTCATAAAATTCCATGGAGTTTAAGCTGCACAAACAGACATTTTTTTATGTTGAAATAGAAAAAATAAATGACCGATGAAATCAGTCAATAATCGAAAAGATGTATAAATATAGTAACTTACTATAAGCGAAGGATAAATTTGTTTCTCTGCAATTTGAGCTCCTTCCTACATAGATATAACTAAGATGTTCTCTGCTTATATGAAGTGCAAAGATAATATTAAATCCATTGCTAGGTCAGCTGCTAAAAAAGTCAGTTCCCTCTGTCAGGTGAGACAATTTTTCTCTCCAGAATCTATCTTAAAAATCTGTAAGTCTACAATTCATCCATACTTAGAGTATTGCTGCCACACATGGTCCAGTGCCCATGCTATTTACCTTGAACTCCTCAATAAGATCCAAATAAGAATCTGCAATATTATTGGTCATGATCTGGCAGCTCAGCTCCAGTCACTTTCCCACTGCTGTAAGGTTACCACTATATATCTTTTCTATAAATACTTTCATGATAATTGTTCGGATGAGCTCTTTGATATGGTACCAAGAGTTTTTGAATATAAGTGCAGTACTAGACTAACATCAAGAGGTCAACAATTTGCAGTTGAGCCGGCTAGATATAGCCATAAATTTTATGCTAACTGTTACTTCTTGCTTGTGGAACTCCCTTCCAGCTCCATGCTTTCCAGACAAATTTAATCTTCAAATATTTAAATGCAATGTATGCCTATCTACTGTCCTAGTGATTACTCTTTCCTCTTCTCATTTGCTATTAATGTTCCTGTTCCTAATTCTTCCACACCCAGTAACCCCTTGAGTCTTAGTGGCTTTACTGCCTTGCTGGTGGAATTCTCTTCCGGCTCCATGATTTCCAGCCAACATTAATCTTCAAATATTTGAATGCAATGTCAATCGCTATCTACTCTCCTCCTGATTACTATTTCATCTTCCCACTTATTATTAATGTTCCTGTTCCTAATTCTTCCACACCCAGTAACCCCTTGAGTCTTAGTGGCTTTACTGCCTTGCTCGTGGAATTCTCTTCCGGCTCCATGATTTCCAGCCAACATTAATCTTCAAATATTTGAATGCAATGTCAATCGCTATCTACTCTCCTCCTGATTACTCTTTCATCTTCCCGTTCGTTATTAATGTTCCTGTTCCTAATTCTTCCACACCCAGTAACCATTTGAGTCTTATTGGCTTTACTGCCTTGCTCGTGGAATTCTCTTCCGGCTCCATGATTTCCAGCCAACATTAATCTTCAAATATTTGAATGCAATGTCAATCGCTATCTAATCTCCTCCTGATTACTTTTTCCTCTTCCCACTTATTATTAATGTTTCTGTTCCTAATTCTTCCACACACAGTAACCTCTTGTATCTTAGTGGCTCTACTGCCTTGCTTGGGTTGATTCCAATTAAAAAAAAACAAAAAGGAACTTATTTAGCAGTATAATAGCAACATGCAGAAAACAGCTTATACTTTTCTTGACATCTGTTTTCATGTTTCTCATCATTGCAACAGACTCTTCTCTTTTCAATGTTACTATTTGCCAAGATTTCTCAGTAATTCTACAAGATTTCTTTGTATCGTTTGTAGCCCTCAGGTATGTTTGTTTTTTTTTTTTTACAATCCCTCCCATTCTACTCCGTCCTCTCATTAGGCATGTTAGGTAGGTTATTCGCTGTTTACCACAGTTCCTCTTGTCTATAATATATCCTTTGAGTACCAAATTCTCCCAGCCTTCTTTCCCTATTATGTATCCTAGAAATTTCAGTTATCACTTTCTGATTCTATCTTAAAACTTTCACACTGCTCACATGTTTGGCCCATGGTTTTCAACATCTTTCTGTAGAACCATGTCTGTTGCCTCAAGTCTCGTTTCCATCAGTGAGGAAATTGCCTGGCATTTGCTACCATATATGATTGATATTACATAAAAGTTGATCACTTTTTCTTTGTTCCTAATGAAATTTTCCTGTTTCTTAACAGTTTGCTTAGCTTTTGGAAGGAATATTTTGCTATTCCAATGGGCTTTCAGATGTCTCGTTACCACTGTCTGTTAAAACACTTCCCAGATATTTAAATCATTGTACTTGTTTGATTTTGGTATCTCCAATTTGTAATTTGCATGTTCTTTTTTGTTGTTTTTTAGCTGAACACCCCCACAGGATAGACTGGTCTATGATTATTTAAACAGCACTGTCTCTCTCTTACAAAGTGAGAGAAGTTAATGATTAACTGTTTATTACATTAGTCTGTGTTCTCAACAGTGTACTATATTATTCTCTGGAATAAATTACTTCCTATTTTCTCTGTGTCAACCTGTCCTAACAACCATGCATTCCATTTTCTTGCAATTGAGGTTTAATTATTTCTTCTTGTTTAAGTTAAATTTTTGTACTTGCTTGATTTTGATATCTTCAAATAATAAAGAGCCTATATTTGCAGTCAAAGTCTTTGAATTTCATTTCTGTGCTGCTTTTCTTGTTACCAAATGCTAACCAAAAGTGATAAAATCTTGAAAAATTCTGGATAGTATTATAACTTCTTAGTTTGGAATTTGAAAATCAACATTGACCAAAATTAATAACTAAAAAGTTGAAGAATCATTTAAAAAGTACAATATAAAGCTATTAAATGTAGTATTCTTGGCAGCATTTCTTATTTTCACAGCCATCAGCAAGTTGGGAGGGTAACCAAATTTTACAGGGATTTTGCCCAGTGGTCGTTAATTATTTAGCTGAGATCATACACTATAGTTGGTGCAGAACTGCAGCTGATGCCTCTACCACTTGTGCTAATGTGATTTGTTTGTCTTCCCTGATCAAGGAATCCACTTTCTGGATGTGTTTTTCTTTTCTACCTGTTGACAGGTAACAAGATTGGCTTTTGTCGGTAACACTTGTTCTTCTTATCTTACTGACCCAGACACCTTTTGTTTGATTTGTGGTGACTGTTCCATACTATGCCAACATCGGACAATAGATTTTCACAGGATGGACTCCCTCTGCCCACAGAAAGTGCACTATGGTGTATTTTCCCTGAGTGGTGCATCCATATTA